GACTTGAAAACTATAACGAAGTTGAGGGTAGAATCACTGTAACCCAGTATTTACAGAGAAGTCATTCTTTATTTCTTCAGTTTACCTAAATGAGTTCATTGTACCCAAATAAATGGACAGGGGCTATGTTTTTTGGTTTCCTTACAGACCTGCCTTTCCATGTATATTTGATTGTTGGATAACCAAAATACATAAATGGACCATATAGGCTGCCTCTTACCAATTTCTACTTGAATTTATTATCTTGTTCCTTTTTTGGGAAATGTCAATCACTTCTGTGAAAACAATTTATACACATTTTAGTAAAGCTACATTCTCTTTTTAAGATATCAGGAAGAAAATTCTGTAAGTTAGTTTAAGAGGGCATTTTCTTGATAGTCTCAAACTTTCACCTTTTGTACATCATACCTGATAATGTTTATCATCTGTTATGTAATGCCCGAGTTAGAATTTATAATGAAGCTTCTATAAACATGATTTGATCATTAATAAGTATTATTAAGGGGCTAGGGTGTGGCTCAAGTGGTAGTGTACCTGCCTAAAAGTGCAAGGCTCTGAATTCAAACCCCAGTGCCACAAAAAATACGTAAATATATACTAGCGTTAGTTTTCCCTAGTTACTCACATATTCTATATTGAGCTTTTTTTTTTTTTTAATTCAAGAAGGCTTTATTTCATTAGCATCTTTGGTCAGAGGAATATTTCAGATGGTCAGTCACGTTAAAATCCTTTATTTATAAGCACTCAAATATCAGCTGAATAAATGAATGAAATATATTTCAGTCATCATTGTCCATTCCAAGTGTTCTGTTACCCTCCAATATCTATTTTTCATCCATCTTCATAAGAATTGTATGTCATCTCCTCACTGCCTCTGTCCATAAGGATGTAGTTTGCAGTCCACCATTCTCCCATAAAATAGCCTGTTCCTCACACTTTTCTTCCAAGTTCTTACTTTGATTATAAAGTTTTCAGCCTTTTCTCTCCCTCCTACCAGCATTTCTGAAATCAAAACCATCTATTGTGTGAGACCCACATTGAACTCAGCACTGACCTTGGTGCAGTGAGAGATAGCAAAGAAATATTGCAGGTTAAATGAGGAAAAGAAATAAGTATTCAGACAGCAAAACAATTATGTAATGAGGTACAGAATAGTATGACACAAATTGTCATTGTGGGAATGGAGGAGTATGAGTAGCTAGAGAAGACCTTCAGGAGGAGTAACGCTCACAATGGGTTGTAACAGAGGGCATTTGCATGTGGTGCTTGCAGGAAGAGGCACCTATTTCAGACTGAAGGAGCTCACAGCAGTAAGGTGAGGGGAAGCTAGCCAGGGGAGATGGGAAGAGAACAACTAATTGATGGTGGAGTTGGAGATTGAGGGTGGAGAAAAACAGGGTAGAGATTGTGACTCTTGAAGAGTGCTGTGTAAGAGAGTTTGAGAGCAGCAGATGCTTGGAGAATTGGACTGGGAGACTTGTTTCTGTGTTTGCCCAACATTTTTCATGAACCTGAGCAAGCATTTGTGCGTATCAAGAATTTGGTCTTGCACATGCAAAGCCCTGAATTCAAAACCCCGGTCCCACCAAAAAAGAATGTGGTCTTGTTCCAGTCCTCGATATTAGTGCTGTAAACAGGAGGAATCAGGACCAACCTTTCTAGGTGAGCAACAGTGGTTCATTTGTGGCATCATTCCACAGGGGAAAATGTTGCTCATCTGCCTTCTATAGTAGGTGCTATGCTGGGGACTGAGTGCAGTGATAAATGATACACATTGTGTACCTTGTCAGGTGCCTAGTGTGACAAGGAAGACATACCATTAATGAATGCATAGTCATTTACTAAATATATTTGCTGAGCACCTACCATGTCACAGTGTTCAGGGTTTTGGAACACAACTGTAAACATAAAAATCCTTGCCACAAAGAGCTAACATCTTACTAATATGTAAAATGTTTACATCAGATGTGTGCTGTGCTATGAAGAAAAATGAAGCATGGGTAGGAAATAGGAGAAGGAAGTATGAAAGTTTCATCTTTAAATACGGGTATCAGAGAAGGTCTCACCGAGAAGGATGCAGGGAGAAAAGGAAACGAGTAATGCGCTTTTGTGGAGAGCAAGTGCAAAGGGCCCTGAAGCAGGAGCATACCTTAAAGGAATTTGCTGGAGTTTATAGAGTAGAGAGAGCAGTTGGAAGAGAGTAGATAATATCAGGGTAAGCAGTAAGACCCCTTGTAAGCCATTTTAAGATTTTTAGATTTTATACTGAGTGAAACAAGAAGCCATTAAGCAGAAAGAGTAACGTACAATTTAACAGGATCACTGACATTTCAGATAAGAACAGACATTAATGGACAAGATTGGAAACAGAGACCAGTTAAGATAATATTGAAACTACCTAGGTAAGACTTGTAGTACCTTGAAAATGCTTGGTCAGTGGAGATAGGGAGAAGAGATTTTATGTATACATATATGTTTCTAACAGTTTTAGTGAGATATGCTTGATGCACCATAAACTGCTCACATTTAAAGTTTGAAGTTTACATTTTGACATAGGTATGTGGCCATGAATCATCATCACAATTAAGGTAATACACATGTTTATCTCCACTGCAGATTTCTCATATTCTGTTTGTAATTTCTTCCTTCCACCTCTTTCCATCCCTGATTTCCATCCCTGATATCAATGATCTACTCTTTCTCACTTTCTACAGTTTCTTAAATACCACAATTTGTTTATTCACTTACCTGTTGATCTTTGGATAATTTCTAGTTTGGGGCAATTCCAAACAAAGCTAACATTTTACTGTCTGATTGTACATTTTATAGTCCTACCAGAATGTCTGAGAGTTCCACTTCCTCACTGATTCTTGACAGGGTTAGTCTTTGTAATTTTTTGTCATTTTAGTACATGTAGATACATCTCATTGTGGTTTGATTTTGTATATCCTAACAACTAATGATGTTGAGCATCATTTTTTTATGTGTTTATCTTCCATAAATCCTCTGTTCAAAAGCTTTGCCTATTTTTATTAGACTTTATTATTATTATTTAGAAAGTTCATTATGTTTTCTAAGTGAAAACACATATCTGAGACAAATATGCGTTTCATCCATAGAATCTTTGTTCAGTTCTGCCAATTACCTAGTTTTGTAATCCTTGCATCAATTTTTTCATTTTTCTTTTTTTTTATTGTTTTATTATTCATATGTGCATACAACACTTGGGTCATTTCTCCCCCCTGCCCCCACCCCCTCCCTTACCACCCACTCCGTCCCCTCCCTCTCCCCCCCACCCCCTCAGTACCCGGCAGAAACTATTTTGCCCTTATCTCTAATTTTGTTGAAGAGAGAGTATAAGCAATAATAGGAAGGAACAAGTGTTTTTGCTAGTTGAGATAAGGATAGCTATACAGGGAGTTGACTCACTTTAATTTCCTTGCGTGTGTGTTACCTTCTAGGTTAATTCTTTTTGATCTCACCTTTTCTCTAGTTCCTGGTCCCCTTCTCCTATTGGCCTCAGTTGCTTTTAAGGTATCTGCTTTAGTTTCTCTGCATTAAGGGCAACAGACGCTGTCTAGTTTTTTAGGTGTCTTACCTATCCTCACACCTCCCTGTGTGCTCCCGTTTTTATCATGTGCTCAAAGTCCAGTCCCCTTGTTGTATTTGCCCTTGATCTAATGTCCACATATGAGGGAGAACATACGATTTTTGGTCTTTTGGGCCAGGCTAACCTCACTAAGAATGATGTTCTCCAGTTCCATCCATTTACCAGTGAATGATAACATTTCATTCTTCTTCATGGCTGCATAAAATTCCATTGTGTATAGATACCACATTTTCTTAATCCATTCATCAGTAGTGGGGCATCTTGGCTGTTTCCATAACTTGGCTATTGTGAATAGTGCTGCAATAAACGTTTTTCTTAACTTTTATTTTTAAACTCACATAGATTTGTACATATTTATAGATACAATATGGTAATCCTTACATACAATATACAATGATAAAATCAGGGTAATCAGCATTTCTACTCCTCAAACATGATTTCTATGTGTTCTGCCTCTTCTTTTCTAATTATTTCGAAATATACCATAACTTGTTGCGGACTGTAGTTACCTTATTGTGGTAGAATACCAGAACCAATCCCTCCTATTTAAGAATATTTTGGAACCCATTATTCAACCTCTGTTTGATTCTTAGTTTGCCACTACCTGGGTGACTTTGGACAAGTGATTTAATCTCACTCCATTTAGTGCTTTTATCTGTGAAATGAGGATAGTATCTATTTTACAGAGTTCTTATGATGAATAAAATTAAATAAGATAATGCACAGCTTTTAGAGAAGAATCTGTCATAAAATAAAGACCTAATAATTATAAGCTCTGATTAGTTATCTTCAGACTTCAGACCTCTTAAGTCTTGTATCATTTTTAAGCTCTATTTTGGTGTTCCCCACCATTCCCAAACATTTTAGAGAAAGAGTCAGTCCTCTACTTCTTCAGTTATCCCTCTTTTCACTGTTCGGTGCTTTCTCATGATAAATTGCAGTACTACATAGCCATCCATGAGTTTATATTTTACTGTTACCGTTGAGTTATGTGAAAAGCTGCATTGCTCACTCCACAGGTCAGGTTTCTGCATGAGTTTCCTTCACTCCTTTCTGTGTTGTTAAGGAATATCCTGTGTGTATGTGGTATATGTTTCCATTTGAGTTGGGAAATTTTTGTAATTTTTCCCAAGCATCTAGTATTTTTCAGAGACAGACAGGATTTGCTTTATTATTGTCCCTTCCTCATGGTTAAGAAGCAGCAGCTGTGTAACAATCTGTCTCACTCCCATGGATAATCATTCGTATAATTCTGCCATGTTTTCCTCCCTCAGATTGTCCCATTTATTGTCCTTCCATTCCCACTGCCACTTCCCTAGATCAGAGCCTCGGCTGAGCTACTGCAGAACTTTCTTACTAGCTCCTTGTTTACCATCTTTTCCTCCTGCAGTTCTGAAATGAGCAAAGAACAGAACCATGAGGACCGAGCACATAAAGCAGATATGCAGGCAAAGAAGAGTGAGCAAACAGGCCGAAAAGTCACCCTAATAGAGGTAAGAGGAAAACCAGGAAAAATTCTATCATGTAGTCAATAGAAAAAGACTTAAGAAGGCCAGGTCAACAATAACAAATGCCAGAGTTAGGAGAGTCAGACCAGTTCCCTTTGGGAATTGCAACCAAGAGGGCATTTGTGGCCTTAGAGAAGAGAGTTTTGACAGAGTCCTAGAAACATAAATCAGATTGTCTCTAGTTTGAAAGGAAAAAATGACCAAAAAAAGTCTTGTCTAAAAATCTAGACCGTAAAGGGAAGAAAAAGCTAGGTACTAATAAGTAGAAAATATCTTTATAAACAGGAGAATGACAAGAATTTTTACAAACTGAGAGGCAGAGCCATGGAGCAGAGCCCTGTGAGATACAGGAGTGGGGGATAATCAGGGTCCTGAGCAAATGCAGTATTTCCATTAAAGCTGGAAGGGTGGACGTGTTTACCATAGAGAAAAGGAGTGTGAATAACAATGCTTTCTGGTACAGGGTAGGTATAAGAAAGGGAAGAAAGTTCTGTCAGAAGGATTTATTTTCTTTGTAGGAAAACCTAGAATTTGAAACCTAGAGCTAGTTTCAAATTTTCCGTAAGTGTTTTAATTGTAAAACAAGAAAATCTAATTGTACAGAATGCATATAGATAAAATTTTTAAATGAGTAATAACCTGTGATGGAGAAGAATTTTGCATAAAGGATTCAACCCATAACATACAGAAAGCTCTAAGAAATCAACAAGACAAAAAAATGCATCTGAAGAAAAATTGTCAAAGAGTGGTCACAGGATGTTCTTAAAGAATAGGTATAAGTGGCAGTAAACATGAGAAAAATATTTGCCTTCCCATGATCAAATTAGTGGAAATTCAAACAACAAAATGAGATGGTATTTTTTCCTCATAAATTTAGGCTATTCCTAGTGTCGATGAAGGTTCCCTCTTACAGTAATGGTATAAGATTGATCCATTCTTTCTTTTTAATAAAGATTTTGAAAATATTTATGTAGTCAGGCACCATGCCTGTAGTCCCACCTACTTAGGAGGAAGGAGGGTTTATTGAACCCAGGAGTTCAAGGCCAGCCTGGGCAACATAGTGACACCCTGTCTTAGGAAAAAAAATGTCCTTTCACTTAACAGTTCTATTTCAGGGAATCTGTTGTCAGAAAATACTAACATACACATGAAGAAATTCAGTTAAAAAGCTATTCCTTCAAGTAGGTATTTTAAAAATAGAAGGAAAAAGCTCATTTTCTATGAATAAAGGGTTGATTAAATTATGGAACATTTATATGATAGAGTCATGACCATTATTTATTATATTATGGAAGTATTTAATGGAAATAGGGATATGTATATCATAAATTAAGTTGAAAAGATGAGTGTAAAATGTTTATATATTCTAAATATAAAATACTGAACAATATTCATCAAAAGATGTCAGTGATGCTTTTTTTCATTTTAATCTTTGTATTTTCTGACTTTTTTAGTCAAAAGCACTATTTGATCATTTTCAAAATGAAAGTAATTTCAGAAATTTTCTAATACAGTCTTCTGTTCTTTCTACACTTAAGAAACCAACATCTCAGAATCTCCACTACACAGCGCCTGAACTAGGACATAGTCTTCTAACTACAATTTCAGGGTTGTTTGTATTACAAGTGGCTTTGTCTGTTGACTCTGACTAGATAGGAAGTGCTCACAGTGCTTGTGTTCAGGGCCCATGACATGCTCTGATTTTTTTCTCCCCAGCAGTTTGGACAGGATCTGAAAACAGAAGCAAACCTTCAGGGAATATTTTTCAGATTCAATTTCTCATGGGATAGGGCCCAGGATTTTTATAAATCTTATTTTTGTACATAGCATAAATACAAATACTAACCTAGTTTCCTATTTATTTTCATAATCTTACTATGCATCAGTCCCTCACTTGCTCCTCTCTTCCTTTATGAGAAGATATCTCAAAGGAGGGCTGACCTGGCACTTATGCTTCAGTTAGACAACCCTCCTTTCCCCTTTTTAGCAAAGTCCTGCTGTCTCCAGCTTTTGAGTCCCTATACTTTCTGCAGCCATCGTGCCAAGTGCCACACTGGCTTTTCCGTAGTCAGAGCTGTACATCTGACCGTCCATTTTTTCTTTTCATCCTGTCTTTTTCTTCATCATAGGCAGTCTTGTCCTTCTCTATCCAATGTGTTTCTTCTTCTCATTAGTCTGAATCATTTCCCTTAAAGATACTGTCTTTGCTGCCTACTTCAGCTTTTTCTAATTAAATTTCTCTTTGGTTTTCCTCTCCTGGTGGTCTCCTATCTTCTCTGTTTACTTTCACAGTTCAGACTCCACCTCGTTAATTGAACTTGTCCTACATGTTCTGCACCTGCAGGATCCATCTCACTGATTTCCAGCTGTTAGTCTCCCCTTCTCTCTCCTTCCCTTTTCTGTTTTTCTTCTTCTTTTTTGTCCTACCACTACCTTGAACTCCTCCTCTCACTTTGCATTACTATCTTATTCTTCCTCTAAGATCCTTCTACCCTGCTCTCTGTCCTTTTCAGAGTTTCTAGGATCTGTGTGACTGTGCTTTGCATTTATTTGAGCCTCTACTACTTTCTTTCCCATTTTTATCAGACCCTAATTTGGGGCAAGTATTACATTGTACCTTGACATACTACATCTGTACCATCTTATACTCAACCTCAGTTGCTTTCATGAGCTTCGCTTGAATCTGTTTTTGAGTTTCTGTATGTAATAGGAGCTTACCTATATAGCTCCATATAACAAATTTAGAATCAGGAAACTTGGACTGGCAAAAAATTTTTTCTATCATGTGTAAATCTTTCTTGAATAAAATAATGTAACTATGTATTAAAGATTAGGCCTGTTCTTAAAAGTGCAGGTGTTCGCGCTCCCTCCTTTGCTTACAGGGGAGCCTAATGGAATGGTTAGCCTCTGCCCCTTCCTGCCACAGTATGCTGGCCATGGCTTTCCTCAGAAGTGATCAGTGGAGTTGGCCATCACTGTAACCATCTGTATCATCCCAAACCTGCAGCTTGTTTCTTAACATTCCAGTGTTAAGCCTTCTCTTCTTAGAGGAAAAACAGTAATATTTTTGTGTAAGTCTAGATACTCATGGCTGGGTGAATAATTACCTTGAAAAGTCCAGGTTCAATTCCACCTGTTCATCACACACTAGTTGTAGTATACTTACTACCTAGTCACTAAGGAAGCAACTTCTTATTCCATCTGCGTATTGGTTCTTGGTTTTTTATTAATGATAAAAAAAAAACCTGCATCTAGATGCATGGTTAACCATCACTACCATGGTTAATAAAAAAGACATTTTGTGTGTTTACTATTGAAAAATATTAAACCAGTCATAAAAGTAGACTAATGAAAGAGTACTAGTTGATAGAATAGTCTATATCTTCTCTAATCACTAGCACTGAAACTTTAACATGAGGATTTTTTCCCCCTTGAAGGTGGAACTTTACATATTCCGATTGCCTGCTCTTAATTTTGGGGATTTACTCAGAGTTCTTCATATTTGTATTTCTTTTTTTTGCTTATATTAGTTTAATGCTGGAACAGGCTTTAAACAATTGCTAATGATACAAAGAATTATTAACTATGTTTTCAGAGACAAAGTATAAAATACATTATTAATATTTTGGTTTCATTTGTGTGGGTAGGGAGGTTTTGCACAGTGTCTTTTCTTGTGTTATTGCGTAGGCACACTAAGATTTGGTTGTGGCCAAAAAACATTGCTCAAGTTCACTGAGTACATTTTGTGTACTTTTCTCTCTAGTAAAGTGTTGAAAAAGAATGAAGAAACCACCAAATGTACAGAAATGAAATGACATACTAAACCAAGTAAAGTTTCTCTTCAGAGTTTGGGAATTTTCAGATTCAAAGAAAGGATCCACTACTTCTTATCCTTACGAAAATCGAGAAAAATCAGAAATGAAGTGTGAGTAGGAAAATCAGTGTGGCCTTTGATCTTAATTGTTACAAACCATTGTGACTGTTATTGATCAAAGTATTGGTACTTATATTTTTAGTAACTGCATCAAAATCGCATTACCACCGTTGGAAAACAAATAAAGAAAAAAATGTAATTGCTACTCAGAAAATGTGACTAAAAAGTATTTGCATTGTTTGGGTGTCTGTTAAATACTCATTCAGTATATTTGTGTCTGATTTGTGGTTTTATGTGTGATGTTAGCTCAGTATGTTAAGTCTGTGTTTTTGAAACTAACTGTATTTAAAAGATAAGAAACTTCAGAACATTATGATCCCAGTAACAAAGCCATTAAAAGGAAACAATTTGCTTTTCAGGGTTAACATCTTCTGTTACTTTTGAGTGAATTACTTATGTACTTATGTACTTATGTACTTATGTGTACTTCTTGATACACCTACACTAAAAGTGATTTTTGGCTGGACAGGCAACAGTGTTCCAAATTTCTTTCCTTCTTAAAAAAGGCAATTTATATTTAAGCATACAAGTAACTTGTAGACTTATATTGTTTAATATTTATTTTAGTCCTAATATTTGTTTTAAATTATTATATTCATTATTTGTCATTTCAGAATGATAGCATCATTACTATGTGACTATTTGAAGTCTAATATAATAGAGAAATTCACTTTTGTTTTTTTCTTGAGTCTTCTCCTTTTTCAATTATCTATTAAGTATGTTGATACAATGTTTACCTCCAAAAAAGGTCAAAGCTAATACAAAACTCGAAAAACATTTACCAAATTAGACAATTGATTCCATTAAAATAAGTAAGAAAAAACAGTGTTGGGCATTGAGATGTAAATTTTGTCCAGATGTATCCCTGATATGAAATAATTTCTAGTAAAAATATATTTGGCTCTTATCCCTGCACATGTTATAGAAGCATGAAAATTGGTAAACATGACCCTGCTATAAAGCACTTTTTTAAAAAATGTGTTTTCAAAAGTGTTAATTAGCAGTGGTGACTGCTGAAGCCCACAGCTGCAGCTCAAGTCTGTTCTGCTAG